CTGCCAGGCCCAGACTTGGCTCCAGAACCCTTCTCCACACAGACTCCCGGGAGCCACTATCCATTAGCTGGAGTTGGCACATGAGCTGAAGCCTGTGTGCCAGTTCTGAGCTGAGATCTGGGGGCGGCATGAGTCAGAGGGCGAAGCGGGAGTACAGGCAGAAAAAGGAGTGCCAGGCGCGGAGGCAACGGCCGCGGAAACTTGGGGTGAGGTGGGGAAGTGTGGAGGGATTGGGGTGGTGGGCCGGGCCGCAAGGCTGGGGACTGGGAGGAGCCTAGAGAGGCAGAGAAAGTGTGAGGTGACAGAGTGGGAATGTGGACCAAGAAGGAGACTTGCTGGTATCTAGAGGAGAGTGACAAGTGGCCTCAACCAGGGCCACTCATGGATGCAGATGGGGGGAAATGGATGGATTCAAGGAATAATCGAGAGTAAAATGGGGGCCAACTGTGGATGAGGTAAGAGACAGAGAGGGGAGCCCTCGGAGAGAAGTCCCAGGCTTTGGCTGGGCAGCGGGAGATGGAGGCTCTGCCCTCAGGCAGCGCGTGGCTCTGTGGGCCCACCCCCCAAAACACTATTTAGTGTCCACGACTTCTAATTGCAGCAGTGACATTCCTTTGCCTAAGTCTCGTGGCCTCTAAAGGACTTGGTCCTAGCCCCTCTCTCTACAAGAAGAGCAAGACTCCCAACAGGAGCAGCCTCCAGTCAGTAACTGAGAAGAGCTGGAGTGTACATACTCTGCCCTCACCTCCTGGGGGTATCTGCCGGCTTCCCCAGCAGGACTCGGGTCACACTGCTGCAGTGGGGCTGGCTGGCTGCTGCCACTGCTGCTCCCACCCCCCACATACACTCTTTTGTGGTACTGGGAATTGAACCCAGGGGTGCTCTACCATTGAGCTATATCGCAACCCTTTTTCACTTTTTATTTTGAGATAGGGCCTTGCTAAGTTGCTGAGGCTGGCCTTGAACTTGCCATCCTCCTGTCTCAGCCTCCTGAGTCACTGGGATTACAGGCATGGGAGACCCCGCTGGATGGGAGCTGGCTTCTTACAGCTTCATTTACTGCGTGCCTCTCCAGCCCTGTCTCTCTCACACGATCCTCTGCCATGATTTCCCAGAATCACCTCCTAAGTGGATTCCTTGCACCAGGTCTCAGATGTGATTCTGAGAAAACCCTTAAACTAAGGCAGTCAGTCAACAGGAGCATCTCAGGCTGGAGCAGGTGCCGTTCCCCAGGGCCTTTCTCAGGGGCTTGAACTCGACCCCTGCCCTTCATAGGAGCAAGATGGGCCCGTCTGCAGGGCGGGAGCTCGGTTGGCTGGGTGGGTGGTTGTCCCTCCATCCTTCACACACACAACTCCAACTTTTGACAAGGCAGAAAGGGGCTCAGGAAGAAGCCTTTCCCCAGCCCGGGGGATGAGCCGTAACTCGTCCAACACAGGAGGTCTGCAGGAGGGAAAGATGGAGGGGAGGTAGGTCCTCGGTGGCATCGTCACGCCACCAAACCATCCAGGAAGCATCTACTTGAGAAATCCTGGCAGAGGGAATTGCTAAGTGAAAGAGCTGAGCCTGACTGTTAAAGACAGATGCCTGGCTTTGAATCCTGGCTCGGCCACTTACTCACCGTGTGACCTTGGGCCAGTCACCCTTTCCACGTCCTCATGTCTAGGACGGGGATTAACAAACAGCCCCATCACCATTAGGTTGTCGTGAGACTTAACTGTCACTCTATGTGACGGTATGGCACAGTGCCGGCACTTGCTGCTCTCTTCAAGCGTCACCTGTGGCCACTAATGCAATGAAGCCAGGCGTCACAATGACGCTCCCACAAACCAGCGGGGAGGCTAGTTAAAGTTCAGATTATGACCCCCGTGGGCCCCGGCTGGAGCAGATCCTGCATTTCTAACAAGCGCCCAGGAGATGAGATGCTGCGGAAGTACAGAGGTCACCTTGACCAGCAAGGTCAGGAGCCTCGGTCCACTGGCATTAAGTAAGGAGGGGCCCAAGGCACCCTTACTGATAGAGGGCCCCAACACAGGTGTGCCCCTTCCCTGCCCTGAGATCTGGTCAGGTCTTCCACACCTGGTCTTGGCAGCTCTCACCACTCCCAGCTACTTGGTCAGCACCCTGCGAAGGAAATCCGTGGAGGGCCGGGCCTCTGCAGCGCCCGCCCAGTTGCCTGGCGCATAGCAGGTGCTTAATGGAATTTGTTGCCAATCCACATGGGAGCGCCCTGTGCCCCCTTGCAGGAATACACACACCCAGTGGGCAGCAGCTCAGGCAGCCCGGCAGCCCGGGGCTGCAGCCTGGTGGGGCTGCTCCAGGGAGGCTGCCTCCCCACCGGCCTCGGCTGGGCTGGCAGAAGCCAGGGGTGGGAAGAGGGCGGGACAGTCACACCCCTTCTTGATTCAGAGCCTGGCATCTGGGTCCAAACAATGCCCCTAACACCTGCAGAACAAGGAGAGGGCTGGCTATGGCTCATGTCACCCTGTCCCTTCTATGCCTCTCCCTCATGCAGGTGTGGGTGAGGTGGCAGCCTTAAGCTGGCCCCCACTTAGACTCAGTCTCTCTCAGGAGGCAAGACTGTCCCCACTTCTGGACCCAGCTTCCTCGGACCCCCGGATCCTGCTCAGTTGGAATCAAACCACGCACCCCAAACCTTTAATAATCAGTCACCACAGCCAACCTCTCCCTGTGCTTACGCTGTGCTAAGCACTATATTTGGGGTGGCTCATGGTATTTGTAAGAATGTGATTGACCCCAAGCAGCAAAATGCCCACGAGTGACTTAATTAACAACAAACTTAATTAACAACAAAATACTAACAGAGCATGATTCCAGTGCTCGCCACGTGATGGTTGGTGTCCTAGGTGTTTCCCATGTATCAGCTCATTTAATGCTCACTGTCCCCTTTCTGTAACTGGAGAAACTGGGCTTGGAGAGGTAAGGGACCTTTCCCAAAGCCACATGGCTACTGAGGAGCAGGAACAAGTCACAGGCCAGGGATGTCTGCCAGCTGAGTCCTGGGTTTGAGCCCATGACACAGAAGGGACAGGGTGGCTTTGAACCTGTCTGTGAAGGGACTTGCAGGTCCCTGCAAGCACATTTCAGCAAATGTCACCAACAGCCACCCTCCAGGGCCTTGTCATAGGCAGCCACCACCTCCTTAGGACCTGCTCCCTGTGGGTGAGTCATATGACCCCCGAGCCTTCCCTTCCTCTTCTGTAAAGTGGGAATACGCTTCTCCTCACCTGCTGCAGCCACAGGGCCGCCCTGGCCTCCCCTCCCCAGGGCCTCCTTGCCCGGCCTCCTTGAAGCCCATGGGTGTGCCTAAGGCCGGGCCGAGGTCTGGGGCAGAGCCAGGACTGTGGCCTGAGCCTCCTGGACCCCTGAGACTCAACAGTCAGCGGGGACCCCTGTCCCCCAGGTGCCTGGCTCCTCCCCCCAGCACGGACGCCTGCCAGGTTTCGCAGGTTAAACACATGCCAGCTGCTTCCTCCTCCTCCTCCTTCCGCCCGTCCTCCTCCTCTTCCTGCCCACCGGAAAGCTCCGCTCGGAGGTGGGTGGACCAGCCGCATCTGCCAAGGCAGGGCCATTCACAGGACCTGAGATGCCCCTCACAGGAGGGGCCAGGCATCAAGGTGTTGGCCCCCAGGCCCCCTGCTGAGGGCTGTAGTCAGAGGTGGAGGGCAGTCACCGGGGGTGATGGGGAGCCTGCCCACCCTGCGCTGGCTGGTGTCTGCTCTCAGACAAGCCGCCGGGCCAAGGCTGTCCAGCAGGACTCTCTGTGATGATGGAACTATTCCATCTCCGCACCGCCCAGTACAGTTGTCATGAGCCACATTTCGCTACTGAGCATTAGTGTGACAGAGGAACAGAATAATACATCTTCCTTAATTTTAATTAACTTACATTTAAATAGCCATGTGTATCTGATGACATCTGCACAGGACAATACAGACCTTAACTTTTCCAAGCCTCAGTCTCCTCAAGTACATAGCAAGGGTCATGACGCCCCAGGCCCCCTCCCTGACTCAGAGGACTCTAAAGCAATATGCTGTCGTGGAATAAGCCACACTGGGAGTCGGGACCCCTGTGCCCCAGACCTATGTTAGCATGCTGTGTGACCCAGGGCAAGCTCCTGAACCTGTCTGAGTGCTTTAGCCATCCACACAATATGGAAGTTGCTTTGGTCTTTGCCAGGTATCCGTGGGTTGACTTCTGGGGATCTGAGAGCCCTTTGCCATTAGAAGAAGAGTGTGTCCGTGTAACTGCGTGAATGTACCCATGCCTGTGTTTACGGGGGGAAAGCAAGATGAATCCAGGTGAATTCTTCAGAGAGCTTTTAAAGACAGAGCTCCCAGGAGCTCTCCACAGAGTTTCTAACTCAATGACTCAGAAGCGGGACCCTGCCATCTGCATTTGTGACAAGTTCCCCAGTGACTCCAGTGTGCAGCCCAGGAGGGGAACGCTGACCCGGTGCCAGGCAGCACCAGGTCTTGGATCTGAGATGCATGAGACGCCTTTGACACTTTTAAAATCCCACTAGGATTTAAGACCACAATGACGATGCCCTCTCTGCTCCCGCCTTGGCTCAGCGACACCCACACGGGCACGGACGCGCCAAGCTGCCCTGGGCTCTTCAGAGGTACCAACCCAGGACTCCTTGGATCGTTGAGTGCCTGACTCCTAAGATCCCCTGTGGCTGCTGCCATCACCCCACCCTACAGATGAGGCAGCTGTTGCTCAGGGATGTGACCTCCCCAAGGTCACGCCGCTGCAAGGTCCTGGAGCAGGCCACCAGGAACCAGAGCCTGCGCCCTGGGAGCTGCACGGCTTGCTGCCTACCTTCCCAAGATGGGCACGCCCCGGAGCCCAGAGCCCCTGCCAGCCTGAACTGACCCTGGCCTCCTGGTCAGCCCCCTGGGCACTGCTCAGCCTCTCCTTCCCCCACCGAGAAGACCAAGAGCCAGGTGGCTGTGGCAGGCTCGGCCCACACTCACTTGCCCTCCGAGCCGTAGCTGTTCATGCTGTCCTCGATGGACTCGTGGCTGGCCTGGCGCAGCGTCCGGCTGGGCATCTCCACTGCCAGGCCTGTCTCCGTGCTCCTCTGGATGGCCCCCTTCAGCCTCCGGCTGTCTCCTTCCCGCAGAGAGG